GTGTTGGTGAAAGAGGCCCAGAAAGGCACTCGCAAAAATCACCTTGCCAAAAGTATATTACGCTAACTTATCTCAGGGCTGGCGTTTGTCCCTTGGGAGAAAGCCTCCTGGGGGGGAAAAGCATTAAAAAGTACTAACAATAATGCTACTTTCCACATCCTCACTCCTCCCGTGCAGTTTTTAATGAACACTAGTTTTATATGGGAATGTCAAAGGGGTTAATCATAAATTTTTTAACTCTGTGCCTCCATTTGCGCCAGGATGCTGGGGGATCCAATGGCAGATGTCTCATCTAGTTCTGCTCATCACCAGTTTTGAGTGTTAGAGGTTTCTCCGTTCCCTGAGGCTTCTGGTAATAATCACTATTACTGTAGACTGAAGAGCGTTTTCCTCCTGCAGAGCCAATAGTATTCAGCAAGAGTCTACTGCAACAAACACAACCTTTTAAAAAGAACTCACATTTCAAACATTTTCACTGCAACCTTGGTGACCACGGTCATTGGCTTCTCTTTGTCCGAGACCAGGCGCCTCCTCCATCCACCACCTGACCCGAAGCAGACCTTTCACCCGGGCCCTTCACGAAGGACAGTAGTCCTGTGGAGGGAGAAGTTGGTTAACTCCAATCTCGTATATGTGTGTATAATATAGGTTTTCAAATGCTTTGCCAAGTTGATTCAAGTGCAATTTTAGACTTCTGCCATCTGTGGCTCAGTATGATTTTGCTCTTGTAAGCATAAATCAAGTAATGAAAACTTATTCATTTTTCTCCGTGCAAGTTTAGTTTCTCTGACTGGGACTCGGGTTTCTTGCGGTTTCAGATTCAGATTCAGAAATATTTTAATAATCCCATGGAGGGAAATATTTCGTTACCACTCCCAGATATACAAATTGACATATATAACAAACAACATAATATAGTAAAGTATAAATATAAATTACAAGGTAAATTTAAAGACTTTATTACACAAAATAATTTCAATATGAAGACGCTATTTCTTCTTCCATACTGGGCATAAAAGTATGAAGGGAAAGTCCTGGGGAATTACTAAGTACATTTTTTTCCCAACATTTAACTCAACATTCAGGCATTTTCCTTGCCACCAGGTGCAGCGGCGGCAATGTGCCCCTGATCTCAAGACAATTTTGAGGGCCAAAAATTCCAGATTATTAGATTTTAGACCTGCAGAAACCCTGCCCTGACTATTTCAAACCAACTAACCTTCCTTTCAGACGGTCACCTTTTTGAGCCTCATAGGCTGCCATTGGCCCTGTTCCCTGTCTGGAGGTTTTATCCGAGGACCGTACCTGTCTCGTGAAAGCTCCAGCGGGGATCCTGGGAGGGGCCAGTTCATACTCCTGACACCACTGACAAGCAATTAGGAGGAAGCCGCTGGAAGACAGGTCGGGAGGGACGAAAACAGCATCACTCAGAGTGGATGGAGGAGCTCGAGGTCCACAGCACCTGAGGTAAAGAACACTTCAATTACTACCCCTCGTCGTGGAACCCAGACGCCAGCAAGAAGAGCTCTACAGGTCAAAAATGAGAAACAGTACGGACACAAGACTAATTAGCCTAATGTGATTTATTTCCCTTCCCCTCCAGCTGACGCCACAGAGAAAGACCTGTCAGACCTGATTTCGGAGATGGAGATGATGAAGATCATCGGGAAGCACAAGAACATCATTAATCTGCTGGGAGCCTGTACACAGGATGGTAGGTCCAGACAGACGGGGGTCTGTTACTGACCTGCCCCGGCCTGCTCAGGGCCAACACACACACCACAACACACCAAACACCACCACACACACACACACACCACCACACACACCCACCACACACATCACCAGACACACACACAGACACTGCTGTCCCTCTGTTTTGCCGTACTTTGAGAGATGTGTATAAAAGCATGAGTAAACGATTCTGACACCAGCTTCCGAGCTCGCAGTTTGAATCGACCACGGCTGCTGCCATTTCTCACCAATCATCCCTGACGAAAAAAAAGCTGAAGGAAACTAACCTCTAATGACCCTGCAGGGCACATCGCTCTGCTGCTTCCACACTGAGCTCTTTGTTCACTCCACTTATTTACCAACGGGTTGCCAACTAATTCACAATGCTCAAAGCATTTATAATACGTGAAGGTTAACGCATTGTCTGTGAATCCTCTGCCTCCCAGCATGAAGATTACGACTATTTCTTTCTACTGCCATTATTTCTGTTCTACAAGATAATCCCCATGTCAAATCAGACTTAATTTATACAGCCCAAAATCACAGTTTACCTCAGTGTACAACATTCAAGTCTCTCCTTTACCCTCGATTCGGGTAAGGAAAAAGTTGCAATAGATGTCGAGTATACAGAACAAACCAACAAAATCATATTATATACCATATTTTTCTGATACATGAAAATATATGTGAAGAATTTTGATCTAGGAGGACGATGAAACAACTTCAAATGTTGCCCACAGAGACCCACAACCTCCTCTCCACCTTAGAGATCTTGAAGCGATCGGGGCATAGAATGAATCGGCAAAAAAAAGAGATCACAATATATACAGATACTAATGACAGAAAACATGTTAAAATCATCAGTCCAGCAACCGGCGTTAGCTGATGTATTCCCACGTGTGTGCACTGCGCTTCTCTTGTCCCCACCATCCCCCCCCCTTCCTTATCTACCTTGAGCTGTCAAAATATCAAAATAAAGGCAAAAAAGACCCCAAAACTAGCTGAAATAAACTCCTAACTCACCGCAGTTAGATGTAAAAATATTCTGTCTCTACAGCTGTATTTCCTCTCACTTGTTCTTGGCTAAGTGTGTGTGCTGCACCGCTGAGCATACGCTCTCTTTCTTCAGATGCAGACCATTAAATTAGCAGAATAAAATGACAAAAATCAGGCCAAAGAAACAACCGGCAATGGACTTAAATCAACCGATATATTCGTCCAATCACAACACAGACAACACAGCATTCACAGGAGAAACAGACACACACAAACACTGAAACTAAGGAGACAGGAAGGAAGAAGAGAAGCTCATCTCTCCTTGGGGCGTCTTGATTTAAAATTGTATGGAGATGATTTTATGATGATTTATTCTTGTATTTCTTCCACTTGTTCCCAGGTCCTCTCTACGTGATAGTAGAGTATGCATCCAAGGGCAACTTGCGAGAGTACTTGCGAGCTCGGCGCCCACCGGGCATGGAGTACTGCTACAACCCAGACCAAGTCCCTGTGGAGAACATGTCCATCAAAGACCTGGTGTCCTGTGCTTACCAAGTGGCACGAGGGATGGAGTATTTGGCCTCCAAAAAGGTAACCGTGACGCACAACCAGCAGTAAATATTCACACTGATTCCCAGGACCTTCAGTTCCAGTAATGTCTGTTTGTTTATCCGTCCAGTGCATCCACAGAGATCTCGCCGCTCGCAACGTTTTGGTAACGGACGACAACGTGATGAAAATAGCTGACTTCGGCCTGGCAAGAGATATCCACCACATTGATTACTATAAGAAGACCACCAATGTGAGTGTTCAGTTCAGTTTGTGCATAGTAGTAGTCACACTGAGCCAATGCCGAGAAACGCCTGCAAGCTTCTACAGGCTTCTATAAGATACGATTCTCCCTGTATTACTTTAAGAATCATACCGACAGGAACCAGTGGATTAGACTAAAGATGTACAGTTTTTCAGTTCCAATCTGATATCTGAATTTGGGTATCTGCACATACTGATGCCAATAAAACAACCTCTACCCCTCTGACTGTCGGCCTTACACACATCACAAGTTGCTGTCCTGTTTTTCTCTGTTTTGAGACTAAAATATCTCCAAACTAAAGACGTGATGAGTTGGCCAACTGTTACTAGCTCACTCAGTTACTCAGAAAATTCTGGGAGACAGAAAAATATGGAGACTACTGGATATCTTTGTTAATACATTAATGTGTGCTGCAACATTTTGGCTTGTGTGGAATCTGAATTAGATATCTAACATGCGAATTAGGTCAGATGGATCACTCCCAACTCTAGATTAGATCTGTTTTTTATTGAAGAATAGCATCGCTAATGAAGCTTTCCTAATTTGGTGAGAAACAAGTACCATAAGCTGTCAATTCTTCACAATAGAAGCATCCCACCGGTCCGCCAGTGGAGATCTTTTAATGTGAAGCAGCAGCAACAGGAAGTGTTCGGTTTAATAGGAACTCTACACATTGATCAGTAAACTTTAAATTAAAGTTGATATCTGAAAGTCCAAACAGGAAAGCACGAGTAAAACTAAACTCCAAACCACAGAGATTCAGATAGAAGCAACTAAAGCACTAAAGAGAGCCGCTGCTGTGAGGCTGCAGTGTGAACGTCTTTACGATATGTGTTTGCACGCCGTGTCTGAAGTGTAAACACTGTACCTAACGCTGCAGATGGCCGTAACACGCATTCCTCTTCCGCAGGGTCGTTTGCCAGTCAAGTGGATGGCTCCCGAGGCTCTGTTTGACCGGATATACACGCACCAAAGCGATGTGTGAGTATCAGGTGTCGTTTGCTTTTGCACATTCGAGTCGTGGTGGAATGTGGGGAAAACGTTTAGTCGTGCGGAAAATCTTACTGGCTCCCGTCTGTTTTCAGCTGGTCATTCGGGGTGCTGCTTTGGGAGATCTTCACCCTGGGGGGCTCTCCGTACCCCGGCGTCCCCGTGGAGGAGCTGTTCAAGCTGCTGAAGGAAGGTCACCGTATGGACAAGCCCTCAACATGCACTCAAGAGCTGTAAGGAAATACGCACACCTAAAAATCCAATGTGATGCTGATCTATTAAACTTATTAGTTAAATAAGTTTGGACATGGAAGGAAAGTTTTTGCTTGAGGACTGATAGAACTTTTTCCTTTAATAATTAAGCAACAATCCTAAGATCATCCTCAGAAAATTACCCCCTGGAGATGGGTGTCTTTAAGATTTTATTGATCCTGTACTAGGCGCTTTAAAACTGTAAATTTCTACGTGTGCATGTGAATTACTTTCACTAGATGTTTGGAAATATTACCCGTTTCCTCCCTTATATTCAAAAGACTTCTCCAACTCTAGTGAAGTGTAACCAGACGTTTGAGCATTTATTTCCCCAATAACGTTGACGCTTACTGATCCTACAGTCTTTAATAATTTAGCCCCGGGGTCCATTAAATACCAGGTTCTGGTATCTCTCTGATCCCCACCCTCTAAAACCAGTGATTCTGAGTTGGAAAATAAGAAGCTGCTTTCAAATTCTCCTTGTTTCACATTAATAGTGCTGAAATTATGATGTGGGATTTAATGCTAATTGAAGCAGCATCACAGAACTTTACTTTTGTGTTGATTCTGGCGCCCCCTGTGGACAAAAGTGGTAGTGTTTTCACTGCCTCATCATTGATATCAAGGGGAATCTGACCCAGTGGCATTAAAGCTTTAATATATAACAAACCCCCTTTAAACAGTGTATGAACTATATCTCTATGTTCTTTATGTAGAGTTGTTTTGTTACATGATCCCAAATGTTTCTCAGAGAAATCTGTCATGTTATTCAGGTAACGCTGCGTTTTACCGGTCGTGTTGTGGTTGTCTGCCAGAAGCTGTCATACATTGACTGTTTATCCAGTCTGAAGCCACAT